CCTCAAGTTTTGGTACAAGAGAGTGTGGTTCCCAATCCCCAATCTGATCATGAATCACCAACTGAGCACCTCCACCTCATGCCACAATCTACCCAAACTCAACAAACTCTTTGTACTAATATCTCCACACGTCCTGCTGATCAAGAGACAACAGTTATTGAGATACCAGAGGAGGACCCATTGATTTTGCAGTTAACCAGGAACCTTGAAGCTGGATGGCAAGTCCAAAAAAATAAGAAGAAGAAAATGCCTCTGGAATTAAAGAATCTTATGTCCTCTTCCACCCCTTTGGAGGAAGCCCCCTTCCCTCCTTCTTCTAGTTCTATTAGAATGAGGAGAAGAGGAAAATCTACTTCTATTAGTTAATGAATCTAATCTGTTGGAATGTTAGGGGACTTGCTCATCCCAAATCCCTTAATAGAGTCCTAGCCCTCAACAGGATGTATAAACCTTGGATCATTGCTCTACTTGAACCAATGGTCACTAAAAATGTCAACAGATTTGTGAGAAAATTCCATGGTTTCCAGCTTCTTACAAATACTAACAGCAAAATTTGGATTATGTGCAGAAAGGAAATCCTTCGTACTGTTCTTAAAGAAGGAGATCAATTCATCCATCTACAACTCAATTTCAGTCACTATCAGGGTTTTGCTACCTTCATTTATGCTGGCTGTACAACTACTGCAAGACTGGACCTATGACAACAGTTACTAGAGCTCAGTTCCTTTATTAAGGATTTCTGGTTAGTTGGGGGTGATTTCAACAGCCTCTCTTCTCTTTCTGAGAAGAAGGGAGGGAGATCTCTTGATATTAGTCAAATTAGAACATTCAATGATAACATTCAGTCTGCTGGTCTCTTTGATTTGGGGTTCAAGTCCTAAATTTACTTGGAGATGGGGGAAGAGCTGGGAGAGGCTTGACAGATTTCTGGTAAATGACTTATGGTTTTAAGAGTTCCTCCATACTTCTGTCCAACATCTGGCTATGAGTGGGTCTGATCATAGGCCCTTGCTTATTCAAATATCTTCATCCTCTACTAAACCTAAAGCCAATTTTAGATATCTGAACATGTGGTCTATGCATGGGGATTTTATTAATCAAGTGGCTGAGGCCTGGACTGAAGTCCATCATCACATTCCTGGTATCAAGCTTTGGTTGTTACAGAAAAAACTCAGCAAACATCTCACAAATTGGAACTGGAAGGAGGTGGGGAACATTGATAAGAAATTTTTTGAAGCTGAACAAAAAGTTTTACAGTTAGAACAGCTATTGGTTACTGATATGGGGTCTGATATGGATCTTCAGTTAGCCAATGAAAACTTATTGGAACTGATCAACATGCAAGAGGCTCTCTATGCTCTATGCTCAAAAGGCAAACAAAACCAGGTTCTGTGAGGGTGACAGAAACTCTAAATACTACCATGCTTGCATTAACTATAGGAGAAAAGCAATACAATTCATAAAATCCTTTCTCAGGATAGGCACTAGATTACCAATGCTGAGGGAATTGCTAATGATGCTGTACATTATTTCCAAACATTGTTCAGGAATAACTCAACTGTTAACTCTACCATCAATGCAACACTGTTTGACAAAGAAAGGGAATTTACCAATAGTCTATCCCTTACTAACATCCCTGATGAAAAGGAAATTTGGGAAGCTCTTAAATCCATAGACAGCACAAAGGTGGCTAGCCCTGATGGTTTCTCTGCTGACTTCTACAAAAAGGCTTGGCATGTTGTAAAGGGTGAGGTTATTGCCACTGTCCAAAGCTTTTTCTGGGGGGCTGACCTCCCCAAATATTTCTCCTCATCAACCATTACTTTAGTGCCTAAAGACAAAACTCCTTGCAAATGGGAGGATTATAGACCCATTAGTCTCACTTCTGTCACCTCAAAGATAATCAGGAAAGTATTGGTCGAAAGAATACAGCCCCACCTAAACAAGCTCATCAGTAGGAATCAGTCTGCCTTCATCAGGGATAGAAACATTGTGGATAATGTGCTCTTGGCCCAAGAATTGGTGCTAGACTTGGACAGAGTCACTACAGGAGGCAATCTAATTTTCAAATTAGATATCAAATTTCTTTATATATTTACTATTTTACTTGTGCATGAAAAATTATCTTGAGAATATTTCTGACATGATATAAAAATTTAGGAGGTGATAATATGAAAAGCAAAGTTTAGGTATTTATCTTCTGGATGTCCACTTTTCAATTACTCTGTATATGCTAAGAAGTGCTCTCCTTTGATTTTCTTTATGATAATTATTACCCAAGGTCGGACTTTATACGCACAGATGTTGATGGTTACCTACTGAGGTCCTTCGAGAAGAATTATCAGGGTTGCATGCCCTGAAGCCGAGCCCATCCCTAACTCAAAACTTATACCCAGTTTTGATCTTTCATATGTTTATCATCTAACATTATACAAACATACATATTTAAAATTACAAAAAAAATGCTCAATATTTGTTTGATTTTTGTATGTATATATAAAATGCCATCATAGGTGGCAAGTATGTGCACCTACCTTTTCTTTTAATGTACTTAATTATATATGCTTCATTTATACATGTTGTACTGCAATTGTTCTTCTATTTAGTATATTCCTAACATCTAAAAAGAAACCTTAGGATAGAGGACAAAGAACATATATTTAGGTGGAAATCCTACAACACACGACCAACACATTCTTTTGACAAAAACAACTTTAGCTTTCCAAATTTTATAACAAAACACATTCAATTAAATGAAATCATTTGAAACTTTAATAAATCAATTCAAACCATTCACTTAAGATAGAATATTAAAAGAATAACACAATCATAATAATTCACTCTTTGGGATTTATGAGGATTTCTTGGATGAAGTAACCCATAGTTGTTAACAAAAGTTTTCTGGTTTAAAAAAAATTAATAGCTTCGTTAGACTGTAAATTCAAAATTAATTGTTGTCCCAGGACGATAGAACCATGAGATCTTAACAAGTGCAGCTTAAAATAATTAAAACACCCTCATGTTCCTCAATAGAACCATGAGATCTTAACCGGGACGATACAACCATAGGAATTGTGTGGTATTTATCTAAATGCCCCAATTTATATTTATTCAGGACAGTTTTTGTTGCATGATTTTATGATTCCTGATTCCTAAAAATACAATATAACATCAATAAAATAATTTTTAATTGCTCAAAACTACAGCTCATTTCAGTTTCTACTCAAAAATGGTACATAAAGCCCAGCTTTTGTACACTTTTATCTGGGACAAAAACAGATAAAAATAAAAAATACAATGTTTTGATCATGTTTTATCAATCAAAAACCTGAACTTTACCCCAAAAAGACCATAAAATAATTTTCCAAATGCTGATGTTCTATTTTCATTAAAAAATCACTATAAATAAAATGTTCATAAACTGAAAAACAAAATACCAAATACGAATTGTGAGACTTCAGCTACTTCACTCAGGATTCTTTTAATCTTGATTACCAGTAAATGTCTGAAATCTTCAAGTTTCAGAAGAACTTCCATCAAATCTGTAGAAGAAAGGAGTTAAAATATACATTTCTGATGAGTCACACCCAGATGCAATAAACAGGAAGTCTTTTTTCTTTTACCAATATATGCTCTTAGCCAAAGATAACTCATGTTTGCTCCGAATTTTGAGAGACTGTATTGATCTGTTGATTCAGAATTTTAAGACTACATTTATTCCAAAGCATTTAGATAAATACCACCCAATTCTTATGCATTTACATATATTACACCTAAAGTTCATTTTTTTTTACATTTTTACCACCCAAATATTTCATATCACATAAAAAATAACTAGTATTTTAACTTAAAGCAAAGGTGGCATAAATATAAAAGCTAAGTTTTTAGATATGTAAATACATAAGAATTATGTGCTATGTATGTAAATAGTCCAAAAGAAAAAAAAAAAGGGTATTTTCAATACCACAAAACCTTACCAGACTTGGCATGAGAATGTGTTGCAAGTCCATAGACAGCATATTTTGCATAAGTAAGAAGGCGCAAGCGACGCGGGGCACCGAGTTTGCTCGATATGGAGCTCAACAAACCACTATGGAAGAAGAAACTGATGTCAAGAAAACAAATAGAAATATTGCATTTTAAGTATTGAAAGCAAAGGGTGTACTCTGTTCGTAGTATTGACAGAAATTCAGGAGGTAGAGATTCAGTGAATGATGAGATATCTTCCATCCTGAGAGACTGCACTTCTTGCTTTAAACGTTTCTTCTCTTCCTTGCTCATTTGTGTTCCGAGAGCAGATTTGCTGATGAAAAATAACACATAATAAGGAGCATAAATATTTTGGAAAATTTACATACATAGCAAGCAATTCTCTTGTATTTACACATCTAGCACTCACTACATTATATATATATATATATATATATATATATATTGTTGAGATTGTTTGTTAGATTATGAGACTTTATTTTATAGTTATGCTGAGTTTTGAATTGTAGTTTGTGAAATTGTTTTCATTTCTGAAATTCAGTTTAGTTATGTTGTTAGTTTCAATATTTTTTAAATGTATTGTAATTAATTCTTTCTCAGCATAGTTTATATGTATTATGTGCAATTTAATGTTTTGAGTATTGTATCTTTGTAGTTTGTGAAATTGTTTTCATTTCTGAAATTCAGTTTAGTTATGTTGTTAGTTTCAATATTTTTTAAATGTATTGTAATTAATTCTTTCTCAGCATAGTTTATATGTATTATGTGCAATTTAATGTTTTGAGTATTGTAGCTTTTTATATTAGCACCTGCAGTATTTCAGAATTAAAGTTTCAAAATCAGAACCTTCAACATGTGTGTCTTTTTTTTATGTATTTAATGTTTTTTTTCACCCTGTATTTTTCAGTTCATCAAAATTTAAAAATTTCAGTTTGGGGAGAAAAAAAAAGTGCTTTTTAAAGAAAGAAACTTAATTTTATTTATCCTCACTTAACTATATTTTCAAAATTTTAAATTAACATGACCTTTGGTATTAGGGGTTAACTTTAGATAATTATAGTTATGTTTCTAAATATATAGTAAACTTAAGTAAAAAATTTTCAATAATAAAGGCTAATTTTAAAGATTAAGATATTTGGTATAAAAGAAAAAAACTATATTTTTCTATTTTAAGTAAAGAAAATTGTATTTTTGAAATATTAAAAATCTTAAAGGTACATGTAAGAAGAAAAGAATTAGATTTTATGAAATCTTTAAGCTAATATAAATTTGTTAAGTGAAGAAATGTGATAAGTTTTTAACTTTAAGAAGAAGACTGTGAAGTTCAAAATCATTAAAGGCTATCCAGATATAGTGATCCTCACATATAGAAAAGAAAAAAAAAAGCAAAACAAAACAAAAAGAAAAGAAAAGAAGTGGGGAGAAGCTTGAGGAGATGCCTAATTAAAAATTGGCTTCACTTGAATCAAATTAAAAAAGAAGACTTGCTACATTTTCTAAACTTTTATTTGAGTATTAGTTTTTTTACTAGTAAAGTCTTATGAAGTTCTTTTCATAAGAATACTGACTTTAATATAACAATTTGCAATTTTTCTTGAAAAGAATAGAGAAGCAGAAACCTTGGACTTGATTACTTAATATTCTTATGCCTTTAGTATTAATTGCAGTTATTTTGAATTTTTCTTAAGTTATGCTATTGTATTTAGTTAACTAAGATATGAAAATCTAGAAGTTAAAATTTTAACCATAAGTCATATTTTTACATAATAGAGGAGCTACTTGAGGACAATTAACATGTGATTTTGGGGGATTTTAATACACCAAAAATATATGCATTTTTAGACCCATATTTTATACTCATTTTTGGTGATATTGTACTTCAATGGAAGCTATTCTTATGTTTTCCTGTAGGTTGTTAAATTTTAGGACTTAAATCAAGAAGGAAGTAAAAGGGATGAAATTTGGAGCAAAATGAAGAAGTGGAAATATATTCAGCGCCGACGGCGCCGTTTGACAGAGAGGAAGAATTTTAAAAAAATATTAGTGCTGACGATGCCAATGTCGATTGAGCTCCAATTTATAGAAAATTCAACAAATCTGGATGCATTTCGAAGAGTTTTTGGAGGCACATATTGCAGAACTGACTCTAGGCTTTATTTCGGGCCAAAATTGATCAGAAAAGAGACTCTTCCTGCCATTTCACCCCCTCCATTCAACCTTCTACACATCACACATTCCTCCATTTTTCATTCCACAACCATTTAGAGTCCATTGTTCTTATAATTTAGAGTTTTGTGGTGAGATTCAGTGTGAAATCTTCGCTAAGAGTGTTGGAGAAGGAGAAAAGTGGGAGATTTCTTCTTCCTTCATTTTCTATAAGAGGCTACAAGGAATTTGCTTTAAAAAACAGTTTTAAATAAGTGCTGTTTGTTTTTTAGTGCTGTATGAACTTGCTTTTATATATGAAATTTGTATTTTGTTGTATCTTTCTCATGAAGTCTGAGTAGTTTACTTTATCTTTCTCCGTACTCTGAGATATCGTGAAATAAAAAGATAATATGGATGTGTCAATATTGAATTATAAAATAAATTGTGAAAATTTTTCAACTCTGAACTTAATATACTTTTTGATCTGGCCAATTAAATTGTTAAAATATGTTTTGAAACATATGATCCAGGAAATGGAGTACGAGTTCTACAACATATTGAGGATCCTATTTGATTCCATGAAGGATAACTTCGTTCATGGAATTAAGTGCAAATAATTAGGGAAATATACTTTGTTGGGTATAAACTTAGAGCACCATTAGGGTGACAAACTAAAATCTCCAATTCGGTCTTAGTGTTTAGAAACTGAAGCAAGAATTAGCCTTCAGGTAAAGGGATGTGAGAGCTCTGGAGTGGGAGCCAGTATCCTCCTAGCCTAGCCATAGATTTAGGGACTAAACCTCATATTAGCTAATGATTTTCTATAACAATGTCTCAGGGTATAGAATTGAAACTGCTGCTATTTGGCACAATACATAATTGAACAATTTATCTCATCTCATTTTACCAGAACCTCATTGTAATTGGAGAGATGCTTTTTCACATAAGAAATTTTCATCACATAAACATAGTTTAATAGTTTAATAGATTAGTAGTTTTTGTTTAAAGTTTATATTCCAGTTTTGTTATTACTAAAATAATTTAGTTTTAATAATATCTCAACATTAAAAATTATTGAAAGTAATTTTGTATTGACTTTCTGTGAATTTTCTAGTAAATTCATCATTTCAAATTTAAACCTTCCTTATAAGATCGATATTTGGGGCTTAAATAAAAAGTCATTTATTATTGATAATGATACGTATACTTGCGTAGAATCCCAATAATAAATTGCTTAAATTTCTTATTCATAAAATGTTACATCAAGCTTTCGGCATTGTTTCATAGCGGAGTCAACTGTACCATTTTTACACAACTATATTATCAAGGGATCAATGGCCACAGCCATGAACATTATGGCCACAGTTCAGGGACACTCTCAACCCCCATAGTTAGCCTCCCTAGAAGTCAACCAACCGCAGATTATACATATCACAGATGAAAGAAAAGAAGTTGCCTAAGCAAATAAAGATTAGTAATAAAGAAAGATTCTCCATCAAGCGCAGTGCGAGAAAAGGAATTTAACCAAAATGTCAAGTAAGTTCGGGAGGCCTTAACTCAATCTAAGGGTGGGGCATTGTTTTAAAGGGTAGAGCTTACCTGTAGGAGTTCGATGTTGTACCCTAACCTAAGGGTTTTGTGTCACCAAACTTTAAGATATTTGACAGGACTGAAAATCCCATGCAACACATAGCACATTTTCGAGCCAATTATGTTAATACTGTAGGTAACGAAGCCTTGCTTTTCCATTAATTTGTAAGCAACGTGTCAGGAATCTCTTTTTATTGGTATGCCAAATTACTTAACGAATAAGTTAAGATGTTCATCGAGCTAGAACAATAGTTCGTGAAAAGATTTGTCGTAGCGCAACATTACGTCTCTATTGAAGATCTCATAATGGAAAAACAGAAGCCCAATGAGACTTTAGTAGACTATATTTTGAGGTGGAGAAACCTTATCATGAAATGTGAACCTCAGCTATAGGAACATCACGTGATTGAAGTCATACTCAAGAGCATTCATGGGTTAGTAGCTTTCATGCTCAAGGGACTCACCATTAAATCCTTTGAGAAGCAACTCAGCAAAGCTAGCAATCTTCAAGAAGAAGTCAAACATAAGCATTATCATGAGAAATCCAAGCAACCAGAAGCAGAAGCCCAATGAGACTTTAGTAGACTATATTTTGAGGTGGAGAACCCTTATCATGAAATGTGAATCTCAGCTATAGGAACATCACGTGATTGAAGTCATACTCAAGAGCATTCATGGGTTAGTAGCTTTCATGCTCAAGGGACTCACCATTAAATCCTTTGAGAAGCAACTCAGCAAAGCTAGCAATCTTCAAGAAGAAGTCAAACATAAGCATTATCATGAGAAATCCAAGCAACCAGAATATTTGATAGGAAATCAGGAACAGTGGCAAATGTCGATAAAGGAAAGCAACCAATGAAGATACATGCGGAAAATCTTTGTCAATCATCATCACAGCAAGCTCAAAGATAGACACAACAATATGGCTAGTCTAGCCAGCGACCTCCTCAGGGAGGATCACATTGGGCATAAAATAAGAGAATATTTTTAGTAGAATGAAAGAATGTGATATATTCCTTCAAAAACGAAGCCGTATCCAAGATGTTCAAAAGTCTAAAGAAGAAGCCTGAGTTCAGACTCATATACAAAGAAACCCAAAGAGGTCAATAAGAAAGATCAACCAAATTATTATTCATATCACAGTTTGCTTGGATACACTATAGAAGAATGCTTTATCTTCAAGGATTGGCTCGAGAATCGAGAAAAATCTTAAAGAAGGTCTTAAAGAAGGAAATATAATGATCGCAAAAGAATATTTAAAAGAACCTGAAAAGAGTTCCATAAATATGATTTATGCTGAGCCAATCTCTTCGATTGACCCATATACTGGAAAAGATGGATGAAGTACACATTGAAGCAAATCATCTAATAGAATACTGAACTAGTCTAGTTTGCATCAAAAGAAACTTCCGTTCAGAGTCTTCAGTCTGCCAAACCTGAGATAAAAATTTTGCCAAAAGATGAAAAATTATACAAAAGAGTTTTGGCGTCTAAGCGCCAGATTTGGTGCTTAAGCACTGATTAAACAGAGAAGGCCACACCTAAGCGTCAAGACCCTGTGCTTAAGCGCCAGTGGCAGTTACTAGATGAGTAAAATCAGTTTTCACAAATTTCAAAGAGGTTTTTGAGGCTC